TTATCACTGGAGACTCTGATTCTCCATCAGTGTGGTCATTTACAGGTTCACAGTAAGTTCTTTCTCATTGACCGTCACTCCCTGTCTAATGGCTCTAACAGGAATGTCTGGCTTGTGTCACAGCCGTTCGAGTGACTCCTAATCTGGCTGATCTGATGGATTCACTCCACGCACATGTTCAACACTTGCTGGTGGGGAATGTCCCTTAATAAATCACTTTAACATCTAGGGATCTGACTCAATACTTTCAACCAATCAGACGCCTTTGTTCTGCAAACATCAGCACATATGAGTGTGCAGGAATGCACAATAGTGTTAACTAAAACAAAAGAGCTAGTATAAACACACAGCTTGACCTTGCGTATGCTGTCCGTCTGTGCACTGAGGATTACTTAGTCTGTGATTAAGACTCACTTTATCCCCTCCGAGGCCCTTCATTTGCATGCTCTATGAAGCCTGATCGGGTCTGATTGGTTTATGTTTGGAGGTTAGAGCAACATTGTGATAAAGGGACATTATATATATATATATATATATATATATATATATATATATGCTAAATTCATCAGCTGTGATTATATTTGATTTTATTTATAAAATATAACATTTGATGTAATTTAAATATAGCCTACTGCATTATGTTTCTAAATCCTGGCTGTAATTTTTATCTCCTCTAGGTGTCTGAAATGAGAGATTGTGCAGAAGATATTCCTCACCCAATCATTTTAGAATGCTTTTAGCTTCTGCTCTCCCTTTAATGTGAAGTTCAAAAGACCCAAACAAGAGCTGTTTCGATAAAACACATCTAAAGCGAGGTGATCAATTATAGCTGTCCTGTATGATCACTAGAGGGCGCTAGAGTTCTAAATGTAAAAAGAAATCTTATTAAATATTTAGATGTTTTCAAGTGGCTCCAATAGAGTGGTAGTGGGCCTTTGAGAATGTTTAGAGAAACACAGTGTAAATATCAAAATTAATTAATAATAAATCTAAACTCGCACTACTATAATGAGTAGAAAAAACATGGGTAGAAAAAAACTTAATAGAATCCATGCATTGTTAGAATAAAGCAATAAGCCCCAAGAAGCGTGGTTTATAGTGAATTTATAACAGCTAAGGGGCATTGTTAGGCACCACGCGAAACGGAGTGCCTAAAACCCCCTTAGCTGTTATAAATTCACATGGATTCGCTACAGGAGGCCTTTATTCACCCCTGGAGCCGTGTGAGGTACGTTTTATGGATGCGCGCACTTTATTTGACGACTTGTGGACTGTTCAACTGCTACACTCGCTGACTGCAATGATAGAGCTTGGAATAGCCAGGACGATTTTTAATATAACTCCGACTGGATTCGTCTGAAAGAAGAACGTCATATACACCTAGGATGCCTCGAGGGTGAGTAAAACACAAGCTAATTTTCATTTTGGGTGAACTAACCCTTTAACATTCATGATGTTAATTTCTCACTGTATGAATTGGGTCTCTGTAAGAAACTCCATAGATGGCATTGTAAATGTTAGGATGGGGGTATGTCACATGAGAATGATCATAATGATCACATGAAAACCCTTGTATATTACAAATATGTGCAATATATTTACATCTGTATTATTTAACATTTTATTGGATCGGTATTTTTTGTTTGATTTTAATCAACAAACTGCATAATTCAATTTTAGCAATATTCTTTTTATTATTTTACAACAGCAATGATGGAAACATGAGACACTTCCACTCCTCCAGTGTTCAGAGTGTAATGCTAATGAGTTCTTGCACAGAGTTTTACTCTACAGTGACTTTCCCAGCATCATTTGTGGCAATGAAACCCGAGTTTACACAGCTGCCTTCATTAACCGACAAGTATTTTACGAAGTAGAAACAGTAGAAATTGAATCAAAAATTAATAAATACAATAACAATTCTGAAAAAGCCATCTTTCCAATAAATATGCTTCTAAAATACAAAAATTAGTTCATAAAAGGCAAACCTAGGCTTATGAAATAATAGTGCTTCTTGCTACCACACATCTGAGGTATGACATTTTCATAAAACCTCACTAGGCCTGTCAGCGACACACTCTTGTAAATGGATCGCATTCCTTTAATGCGATACAAATGCTGTCAGATTGAGTTGTGCTCTCCAGAAAAGTCTAAACAAGTATGTTTTTCAGGTCAAAAAAGCACTACACGACAATGACTGCGTAAGCACTTGAAATGACGTCAGTCTCATCAAGGTAAGGGAATAGCACTCACTTATGTTTACCCATGCACTACATTTGACATAATAAGCCTTTTCGGTTTATAGAACACTCTTCATTTAACGCATGGGCAATCTTCATCATCCTCAATAAATAAAATGGGAATTTATGGCCTTTGTGGAACTATTACATGTAGATGTTCTGCAATGCAACAGCAGATGTGAGAAATAAACAACATTGCTTCACAGTAGCACACAATCAGAAAGGTCCTTTGAGACGAAGCGAACAAACATGCTGCTCCAGACACACTAACAGTATTGTGCATATGGCCATTACAAGCCCTTTTAAATACCTAATATTTGGTCCACGATTCTTGAAATAAAGTAGAAAGTATCATCATGCATGTATAATTTTGAGACCGATTGTATGTACACGTTTCAGCCTAGATTTGGAGAAATGAATTCACAGCATATTTGTGAACAATTATCACTGTCCGTTTTCAATGAACGTTCTTTATAACATCAACATTACAGCAAAATAAGGAGATTTCAAGTCATCGCAGGAGAGTCTGTGATCGGTTGTGATGTCTGATGTGCTGTTGGAGACGTTTAAGACTTAAATTGAAGTCTCATGAGGTAAGCTAGAAGACTCCAGCTTGACGTCACTGGACGCTTTTTCCGAAGGCAGCTCAGTAGGAACCTCCAGGAAAGACAAATACGTGTTCAATTAAGATCTGTAACTCTTTTTCATTTCCCTAAAGATGGCAATTCATTGACAAAAACGATGATCTTGAACATCAGGCTACTGAAGGCCAAATAATACACTACCGTTTAAAGGTTTGGGGTCAGGGAGATTTATTCATGTTTTTGAAAGAAATCTCCTATGCTCACCAAGGCTGCATGTATTTGATCAAAATACTGTAAAACGTATAAACTTGTGAAATATTAATACAATTTAAAACAACTGTTTTCTATAGTAATATATTTTAAAATAGAATTTATTCCTGTGATGACAAAGCTGAATTTTAAGCAGCCATTACTCCAATCTCATTCTTCAGAAATTATTCTAATAAGCTGAACTGGTAAAACATTTGTTTTTATTATCAGTGTTGAAACGGTTGTGCTCCATAACATTTTTGTGAAAACCACGATACATTTTTCCAAGATTCTTTGATGAATAGAAAGTTTAAAAGCACAGCATTTATTTGAAATGGAAATGTTTGTAACATTGTAAATGCCTGAATAAAAGTTGCGGAATAAACTTTAATTTCTTTAAAGAAATCATACTGAACCCAAACTTTTGAATGGTAGTGTGCATTGACCATAAAATATGATGTGTGTGGTTTTATATTATAATTGTTTTCTAAAAAAAACTAAGACAATGGTACAAAAGGAATACCAAATCATTGTTTTAAGTGTGAAAATATAGCAAAAGTAACACTTCGCTTTAAGCGTTCATTTACTGATGAGTGATTTTTGCTAGAAAAAAAGAGCAGGAAAAATACCAAGCGTCTCAGAGCCGACAGAAGCTATGGAAAGATATACACACACTTTAACATTAATATAGTTTGAGCTTATTAACTTGTCACATCGGCTGGGGCTCACAGGCATGTTCTTTTGCTTGACAGAGGGGGATGAGATCGGTACGGGGGCCACTGATGACACAGAGGAAGAGACCCCAACAAATCAGATGGCTGGAAAGAGCCCAAACTTCTGTGTTCTTCTACATGGCAGCCTAAAGGTGGAGGGGATGGTGGCACTTGTACAACTAGGGTAAGGATCAATATGAAAATATGCATCTGCCTTTTCATAAGCATTCTAAATGTTGGCATTACATTAAAAAAATTAGCTTTTAGTGAATTGCACTGTCAAATGAGAAGGATTTGTTTTCATCTCCAGCATATTTGAGATGAGTAATCTAGTTACTGTGAAATCAAAGTTTTCCCTGTCCATAATGTTTCCTCTGGCAGGCCAGACTGGTTCGGGATGCTTTATTCCCAGGCAGACAGTAAGAAGAAGTCCAATCTAATGATGTCACTCTTTGAGCCTGGCTCGGAGCCTCTGCCCTGGTTAGGCAGAATATCACAGCTTGGCCCTGCCTCAGGTAGCACATTG